TACTTGTAGTTGGTCGGCTTTTATGGCTTCAAATTCTTTGTTGGATCTTTGTTTTAGATCTTGTATGAAATTCTTTACTTCCTTAATTTGATGTTCAGTGTTTATTCTCAAATCACTTAGTTGATTGGTTATGGTTTCCTTGGACTTCCATTCCTTCTGTTGGGATCCATTCAGCATTCCCTTTGTGGACTCCCTGACTTCTTTCAGCTCTCTGTTTATGGATTCCATGAATGCTTCTAGTGATCTTTGTGTATTTTCATCCCGCTCTCTCAATTCTTGTATTACTCTTTGATTAGCTTCCTCACGTTCATGCAATTCCTGTAGTTCTCTTTGACTGATCGCAGCTTGCTCACACAATTCCTTTATTTCTCTTTGAGTGTTCTCAAGTTGCACATGCAATTCCTTTATCTATCTTTGAGTAGCTTCCTCATGCCTTGAGCTTCCTGTTTTGATCTTTCGTTTGCCTCATCTCTCTCCCTCTCATGCTCGCACAGAGTCCTTTGCAGGTTTTCAATCTTTTTACCATGTTTACCATTAGTGTTTATAGAGCTTTGGGGGAGCTCTCCTCTGTATTATTCATTATCTGTTCTCTCCACTGATTATCATGAGTTGGAGTTGAGATACCGGGACATGCCATTTTTCTTGTGTTTTTTCCAGCTTATTCTGCCCATTTGGGATGAAAGTAACACCAGTTTGTGCTAGAAAACTACCTTAAGGCAAGCATCAACACAGTCTATATTTGCATAGTCAAAAGCCTGAGATAAAATCTAGTTCAACAGATATATTTTTCAACATCAAACAACTATGTATTAATAGTCTATGAACCACAAAGAAGAATTTGGCAAACCAGAAGTTATTAGTTTTAGCGAGAGATGTGGGTATAAATAAGAATAGAAGGATGTGGAAAGGTAGAGGGAGAGCTAACTTACTCCTAATGTCAAAGCAGGAAATAGGTTGGATAGAATGATAGTAGAGACTGGGGAAAAAAGAAAGAGAAAAAAAGACAAGAAAAAATTGTAAAACAAAAATTAAAAATTAAAAAATGAAACACTTAAATTATGCAAATTAAAAACGTAATATTCAGAGAAGGACTGGAATAGGATAAGAGAACGGAAGGGATAGAAAGGAGACGTGAAAAATTAAAAAAATTAAAATGCTTAAAATTTTATATAGGTATATAAATGTAGTAGTGCTATTAAGGAATTTAAGTCTAAGAGGTTTTGAATTCAGTAATAAATTTCTGGATTAAGTGTGTATACAATGGGGGATAAGGTCTAATAATCGACTACAGGTATATCTGATAATGAGCAGAAAAGCGATTAAATCATGCAAAGAAGAAGGAAAGAGAAGAAAAAGTGAAAAGAATGAGACAGAAAAGAAAAAAGGATTAAAAGATCAGTAGAGCTAAACAAAAATGGAAAAAAAAGCACACACACAAACATATACCCCTAAAATAAAAATTACAAGAGGAAGAAAAAAAAGTTAATAGAAAACAATTTTTTAAAGTTAAAAATTAAAAATGTTAAAAAAATTTAATAAAAGGTAACAAAAAAGAGTTATTTGCTTTTGGGGGTGAGATGGGAAGGTCCTGCATCTCCCTTGTGTCCATAACCATTCTCTTGTTGGAGTCTCTGGTCTGCTTGTGGTGTTTGATTTTCCTGTAGCTTGGTTGTTTTCTTAAGTCAGTTTGTTTGAGGAGGCAGAAAAATGCTTTGATTTACCCAGGATTTTGTCATCCTCTTCCCAGGTTAGTTCAATGGGAGGGAGATCTGCTTTGAGTATCACAAAACAGGGTGATGGCTGTTTCTTCTAGTTTAGAGATGCTGTAATGGGGCTAGGTTCTTGGTAGAGTTGAGGCCTTTCAGCAAACAGTAGCTTTTCCCTGAGGGGCTAGCTTCTGAAGCAGTCACAGAGCCCAGCCAGGAGCCATTCTCAGGGTTTATTTTTACTGAATTTCAATTGATTGTCTAGGCTGCTGTAGGGAGAGGCAGCCCCTGGCTCTGTTTACCCCGTGAAGAAAGCCATCCTGGGGCTGGCGCAGGCAAGGGCTGGGTGAATTTTCCCTGCATAGAGCTGAGCCTGGCAAGTCAGGTTAGGTTCCTGTGACCTGCTAAATTACTTTTTGTTTTCATCCAAAGACTGAGTTGGAGCTAGCTGCTCAGTGAGGCCTTTGCCAGTATCAGAGATGGAGATCTCCGGTAGTGGGCAGGGAGGGGTGGCCTTCCCTTCTCTGCTCCCTGAGAAGGAGTGAGGAAATCATGCTTCTACTCACACAGGAGTCTGGTTCCTGGGTGATCTCTGGTCTGCGATCTGAAGGATGAAGATGTCTGCTCCTTGTCAGTTCTTGCTGGTGTTGAGTAGAATCCTCTCACCTGCTGCATCTGGCGCCTTTGTCGTAGACTCTCTGTGTTGCAGGTATGGCGCCTACAGCCGCAACCGCCCCCACCACAGCTGCAACCACAGCTGTTGGCAAGTGCTCAGATTTGTCTCCTTGCCCGGTTTTTTCCCTCTCTGGCCTAACTCTCTGTACTGTGCTGGCACACTTGGTGTGATTCTCCAGCTTAGGACTTTTCACTGGAGCACTAAAGCTGTTTTCTATGTGAGAGCTTGTTTAGCTTCCAGCTTCTCCTTCGATATCTTCCCTGAAGCATAAATTTAGATTTTAAATGATAAATTATTTTAAAATCGTTTCACTCGGGCACAGGTATGGATAGATAAGTGATGTGGGCAGAATCAGAATTATTCAGAAGGTTGTAAATGGATGCTTACCTAGTTTTCTCTCGGCTGGATCATAAAATACAGACTGTCCTAATTGGAAAAAGTTAGCCTTCCGAGGTTTTCTGCATATAAACACTCCATCAACATTTTATTAGAGGATTATTCAAGATTAGCTATATGTTGATTGATAATGACTGATCATGACAGAAAGTTGAGAGAAAACCATCTACACTTCAGTGAGGTTCTGATTTGTGCTTCACAAACTGTTATGAAAGCTCTACATGAGAATTCTAGCAGCTGCATTTTAAAAAGTCCTTGGGTTGTTACACTTTCTGATATTGTCTCAATTCAAGTACTTCTCCTTGGAGTTCCATACTATTCAATGATGCTGGATTAGCTCCTTGTTACAATTTGCAAACTGGTCTTTTTGATGAAATTTGTGCTTTTCGAAATTGCTCTCCAATTCCATCCTCAAACTGCATACAAAATTTATCTGAAAAAATTTGTATCTGTTGATTGTGCATACATATACTTTTAGTTTTCATTACAAATATAGAATGTATTAAAATTTCTCACAGCAATTATACTGCACTAGCTGGTGGGCAGATTCTAATGTAAATAATATACTGTGTTCATGTAGAGAATTAGAGTATCCAAAGTAATAAGCCTGTGGTCCTAAAACCAATACCTTACTTATATTGAGTGACAAATACAATTTCATATAAGTACAGAAGTTTTCCTTGTATGTTTTAATATATATTTTTATTATAAATACTGTACAGAGGGGTTACAGTTACATAAGTAGGGTAATGAGTACATTTCTTATTGAGCATTGTTACCCTCCCCTTTGTTTTTCCCCTACCATCCCTTCCCTTTACACCTCCCCACCTCCCCCATTCACCCATCCTCAGGTAATGTGTCTTGTATATTTCATTGTTACAATGGGTCAACCAGTAACCTTTCCTTATATCATAAATGAAGAAATGCTGGCTTGATTTATGCTGATTCTACTTGTGTAGACACCTCTAAAATCACTGGCCTAATCCAAGAGCACATAAATGAAATGCCATCATTTTTTTTTGTCAGTTGATATAATTGTGTTCTACACATTTATTGACAGGTTACAAATTATTCTCAAACTTTAAAAATTAAAAATACTTTCTTTTTTTCTTATTTTCTTGGCCAGGAAATCAGCAAGACCTCAGTCAGCATTTCTCACATAGGAATTTTCACATGGGTCAGTTAAATATATATGTAGAGTCCAATTTTTTGAGGACTCACTCATCTGCCTACAAATTCATGCTGGTTGTTGGAAAAAGAGCTCAAGTAAGGATGCCATTTAAAACCTTATAACTTTACTCTTTACCAGGGTATTCTCCTGCTAAATTGGTGGTTGAAAGTGTCTACAAGAGTAAGCAATCCTTGAGGAGCAGGGAGACACCATATGACATACTTACTGAGGTTTCCAAGTGACTTGCTATCACTTGTACTGCATTTTGTAAGTCAAATCTCTCTAAAACTACCAGTTTTAAGAGATAAGAGGAGTGGTAAATGAACTCTTAGAGACAAATACATCTTCAACATATATTGTTTCTAGTATTCAGTTTAAGGCATATTCAACAACTGGTGAAACTTGTGTTGGCTGTAATTATGTGTCTTTCTCCATGTGTGCATGTATACGTGTGTATATGTATGTGTGTGAATAGTAACATACATGCGTACATTATGGCTTATATCATCATTTATTCCTTGCTATCAAATAAAGTAAGGAATCCCTAAAGTTTTAACAGAAACTGTAAAGTCTTAACTCTTCACTCTGCTTCTTTACACAAAGACTTTGCAACTTCTCATTAATAAAGTTTCCATAAACTCTGAAATGTACATACTTAGTACTTAATGTCTGTTACCATAAATCTTAAATACTTTATAGAAAAGGTTTATACCTGCCAAATGGTCTTATTTTGGGCACATATAAGCAAAATCCCAAAATTAAGCATACTTAAAACCTTAAAACTTTTAACAAACCTAAACACTTGCTGCAATGTTCATTTTGACAGGTGCCTTGTATAGAATAATTGAATTCCTCCTCCTACACATCTCTTGAACTACAAATATCTGGAATTATTTTGTTTTTGGCATGTCTATCTTGATTTTATTCCTAAATGTTTGCTTATGTAAGAAATATATGATTCTAAAATTTCACAACAATTCTTTTGAACTTAATTTTGTTGAATTGTCTAGTTTAATAAAATCAATAAAAATTATACTTTATATAAAAAAATGTTCTTTACTCAATTTAGTATCACATACACTAACATTGGAATAATACAGAGAAGATTAGCATGCCCCCTGCGCAAGTATGTCATGAAAATTTGTGTAGCATTCCATATTTTTACAACAACAGATGCTGAAAGGTGTGTGGTCACAAGGGAATCGTACTGAATTCTTGGTAGGAGTGTAAACTTGTTCAAATACTTTGGAAAGCAGTATGGAGGTTCCTCAAAAGACTCTACATAAAACTCCCGTATGACACAGTAATCCCACTTTTGGGGATTTACCCAAATGATCATAAACAAGACCATACTAAAACTACCAGCACAACTATGTTGATTGCAACATTATTTATGATAGCTAAGATATGAATCCAAACCAAATGCCCCCATTAGATGAATGGATCAAGAAAATACGGTATATTTACACAATGGAATTCTATGCCTCCATCAGAAAGAATGACATCTCCCAATTTGTTAGGAAATGGAAAGACTTGGAAAAAAATTTATTGACTGAAGTATGCCAAGTCTAAAGAAACATAGGTCCCATGATTTCCCTTATTTTCAATAACAAATGTATGTCTGGGATAAGCAGAAAAGTTCAAAAGATATGTGCATATAACCAGATAAAATGATGTTAAAGAAATTGAACCCCAAAATAGGGACACAAGTGGTTTTTTGTTTCTTGCTCTTGTTTCTCAGGTACTTATAATGTGTGATGTCAATTTTTTGTTTTTTTGTATGTTTCTCCCCACGATATAACCCCTGTTTTCTCTGTATTTGAAGTTGGTGCACTTACATCTTGTATGTATGCTTCTCTAATTTGGGGAGGGGAAGGGAAAAAATGCTCAAATAGGGATACAGGTTGACCCATTGTAACAATGAGATGCACAAGACACTATGTTATTAAAAAAATTTTGAATGTTAGGAGCTGCTTAATTTTTTCCTTTCTACTACCTTGAATTAATTATTGATTTGCTATAGAGAGATTAAAGATGAGATTAACAAGAAACTTGATTAAAAATGGACAAAAATTCTGAATAGACATGTTTTCCAAAAAGCCCTGAAAATCTCCTGTGGATTTACAAATTTGTATTTAATAAAACGTCTATGTGGGCTGAATGCTTTGTGAGCAGAAGTCATTAGAGAAATGCAATTCAAAATTACTATAATACTACTTTGTAACTATTATAACTCTTATCAAAAATATCCAAGGACCCAGGTGTGGTGGTAAAGGCTGGTAATTCCAAGTGATTGGAGTTTGGAGTAAAAGGATTTGAGTCTAAGGCCAGTCTTGGGTACTGCACACAGTAAAAACCTACCCTTTAAAAAAACTTAAAAGGTAATAATGTTGGCTGGCGACACTGTGGAGAAAAGGAAATTTTCTATACTCTTAGTCAAAATACAGGTTAGTGTTCTCATTGTAGAAAGTAGTATGCAGTTTTCTAAAGAAATCCTGGGCTGGGAAGGTGGCTCAGTGGTAGAGCGCTTGCCTTGCATGCTTGAGGCCCTGGGTTCGATTCCTCAGCACCACATAAGCAAAAAGGAAAAAGCCGGAAGTGGTGCTGTGGCTCAAGTGGTAGAGCGCTAGCCTTGGGCTGAAATGCTGAGGGACAGCGCCCAGGCCCAGAGTTCAGGCCCCACTACCTGACCCCCCCCCCAAAAAAAAAAAAAAAAAGAAATCCTAAGTTGAAATATCATCTGACCCACCAATCATGTGAATATTTCTCTCTGGGTAACTCATAAATATATCTGTAGTTCATTGTTATTCACATTATTCACAACAACAGCCAAGATATAAATCAAAGTCCAGTGTTCAGCTACAAACTAATAAAGCAACTCTGGTACATGCACAAATATCTTTTTCTGTTGAAACCAAAGTAAATGTGATTAACCTCCAAATAAGAAATCCAGATATATGATTTAATTTAGCCAATACTATATATTGAGTATAAGGACCTTCTACTCTCTACATTCTTCACACTAAGATCACTAAATATGATGAGTCTGAAATAATTAGTCTCTTTTTGACCTATGTTAATATTCTTTACAATGTGAGTGAAATGTTTAAAAAGTGTCATTTGTTTTAGCTTAATTTCTCTGAAGAGACCATAAATGATATTATCAAAGCTTAAAAATGATTTTATTTAAAATTTAGAATTCAGGAAATGGTTTAGATCATTCTGGTTACTGTAGCCCTCACTACAACCTCATGAGAAAATTTATATTGATGAAGCAAAAATCTGAGGTTAGACATTTATGAATAAAAAAATCATGTCATTCTGAATATGTAGCGCTACATAACAAACATAGAAAATTTAGCTTTTAAATACCTGAATATGCTAGTACATTTAATTGCAGGGTAAGTACTTATTCTGAAAGGAGATAAAATTGCACTTATTTTGAAATGTAAACCTAAGTATTTATTTCAATAAAAGACAATGTTTAAAATATCACTCATTCAAGAAACAAGATGTATAGTTAGTTGTTTTTCATGCCAATTATGTTCTCTAAACTTACTACAAATACTAGATTAGTAAACTTAATTCATTGCTTTGTAGGGAAATAGCAATTCCGTTTCTTAAAACTCATGACAAAAACTTTTTCTCAAACAATTGCTAAGTAAGTGTTTTATATTTTTTTGTCAAGGAATTTTATTCGATAAATTTTTATTCATTAAGTTAACTAATTGGCAAACAATATAAATTATGCATGGACAAATTTATCTAACACGAGCTTGTTGTTTTTTTTTCAGAAGACAGATCATGGCTCTCTTAAAGAACACTAGAAGGCAGTGTGTTCTTTATTAATTTTAATTATTGTGTTAATAGATATTAATTGTCAGAAGTGCCAATTCCATAATATATTTAACGTATTTGATTATACTCCCTTTATATCCTTCTCATTACTCCTTCCTCCAAAGGTATTCTGTTTTTCACATAAAATTACTTTATATATGCTCATATAAACTAATTTGGAAGATTTAAGCTAAACTGCAAGTTAATTCAAGATATACATTGAATTAATAGGATGAATAAAGACCCAAATATTTTTTGTTAACTTTTGAATTGAGCTATCATTATTATTATGGTTATGGTTAGGATCCCAAACAGAATTAGAATTAGGATTAGAGAAATAGAAAATTTAGGTTCATCACAGGATGACCCATTGCAACAATGATACTCACATGACACTACGTTGAAAATAAAGTTTACACCAGGGGAGGGTGGGGTAAGGGAAGTGGGGAGGGATGGAATATGGGAGAACAAGAAAGAAGTGGGTAACAATGCTCAACAAGAAACGTACTCCTTACCTTACACATGTAACTAATCCCTCTTTAAAGCATCTTTTCAACAAAATAAAATTTTTAAAAAATAATGAACAATAAAACCTGACAAGAAATAGAAAAACACTTAAAATTTATGTTCAAAATGCAAGTAAAATTTAGACCTCCACGCTGAGCAAGAGTTGGGATAAATATGAAAAAGTGGCTTGTTATTAACATGATGATTCGGTTATATGTATGCTTAGGATTAGGCAAGGTGTGCCAGTTAGAGCTGATTAGGATGAGAAAAACATGTAAGACATTGTGTAAAACTGCCACATATTTTAAGAGGAATGAATGGCAAGAATGAATGAAACCAGTTTGTGTTATTTTAAATATTCAGATAAAATTTGGTTTAAAGTGTGAGGTACATTTTTGTTCCGGTTAGGTTTAGGGAAGGATAAGCTTTAAGGTAAATTTTAGTTTTCCAATAAGAAGTAGAAGCCAAAAAAAAAATGTACGATTGAATAGAATCTAGACAATTTTCCTTACATTAGCCATTTGGTGTTAAATCAGAATGTGATTTGGATTAGGTTTCTGGTTAACCGGGTTTGAGGATAGAGTAAGAAATGGGTTAAACTAGTGGCTCGTGTCTATTATCCAAGGTACTCAGGAAGCTGTTTTTGAGGATCGCAGTTCAAAGGTAGCCCAGGCAGGAAATTTCATCGGACTTTTATCTCAAATTAACCACCATAAAACACAAAAGTGTTGCTGTGAGCTAAAGAACTCAGGGATCATGCCCTGGCCCAGAGTGCAAGCCCCACGACCAACAAAAAGAGAGAGAAAAAAAGAAATGTTAAATACTAAGTAAAGCTGAAACTTTTTTTAGGTTCTAGGAATTCAGGAAAAGCTGGGATAATGGAAGTACAATGTATTTCAAAATATCAGGGTTTGAGATCAATGGGTATTGATCTCTGAACTTGAAGCTGATCCCTGCCATCCAACAACATCACATTCTTGTGAATATCACTAGCTGGCCTCATGAGCATAGCAGCCAGCTGGGGCTCAGCTATCTGATGGCCTTGGGCTCCAACAATGCAATCATTTCTGTGCACAGACTGAAAACTATCACAGGAAATTTTGATTTATTCCATTCTATTCTCAGCTAAATTCTATGTTCAGGTTTGTATGTTTTATGATCTCTTAAATATTAATTACTATTTTCCTACATTCTCAAAAGTAACATATATGTCTTACTCTAAAATTCATTCAAACATGCAAAAAATATTAATGTAGTTGCTGTCCACCTATGGCTCATATTTTAAAACCTGGCTACTTTAGAGGTAAAAATCAGAGGATCCTGGTTTAAAGCAGCCTATGCAGAAAAATCTGAGATATTTCTCCAATTGAGAAACCAAAATCCAGAAGTGGAGATGTAGCTCTCATTGTAGAGTGTCAGCTTTGAGCAAAAAGACTAAACAGGAATATTTGGTCTACTTCTGACTCCATTATATACTCATGGAACAAACACACACACACAAACACATAATCTACATTCTCTTTGACTCCCCTTCTTGAGCAGTATTCAATGCCATTAACTTAATGCATGTTTTCTCCAAATTATTATGGTAGGGAATAAACTACATTTGCATTTATGATAATGCACTTTTTGTACTTTTTGTTTTGCAGTTTTTTTGTACTTATGTGAGAGAACAGTATTTTGTGAAGACTAAACAGAAATCAATGTGTCAGTAAATCGGTAGGTGACAGACTGAAAAATACAGATAATACCACTTGAAATTTTATTTCTCCAAATTTAAATATATATACATATACATGTTTTCAAATTTTCTGCCAAG